ATATCTTGGAAATGCGAACAACAAGAAGGGATTTTTTATCATCTTTGGTGGACATGTAATAAGGCTAAAAAATTTTGGACCCAAATTCATATATTAATTCAAAAGATTTTGAAGATTAATATACAGTCAAAACTAGAGACTTTCCTTTTGGGACTGATGGATAAACAATTGGAAAAAGCTCATGGACCTTTGTTCTTATATATGATAACTACAGCTGGACTTTCATATGCTCAAAGATGGAAAGATTCGACATTACCTAGAATGGAAGAATGGATGGTGAAGCTGATGGAGTTAGCTGAGATGGCAAAATTATATTAATGTATAAGAAGTTGGAAGTTATTCTTTTTGTAATTTTTTCTTTCTTCCCTTTACTTTCCATCACTTTTGTATTCTTTATTTCTAACTCTCATTCTCTACTTTTCTCCTTGATTATTAATTCTTGTTTGCTTTTATCTTTATGGTTTTTATAATTTAATAAAGTTCTTCTAAAAAAAAGAAATGTCCACATTATCCCCATAACTCTGGAGTCCATGGGATTTTGGCAAATAGTAAACTTATTTTTGAAGCCACACTTGTGTCTCTCTGTGAATTGGGCAACTGTGATTGGAGAGTCATGCAGCTGTAAAGTTGGAAGAGAACTTGGGAGTCACCTAGTCCAATCCCCTTAATATAGGATATACATGGGGCACATTCTTTTAGATCTCTGAGGAGATCACTATGGGTCAGCCCTCTCCTTCTCAACCTATCCCTAAGCATTCTTGTAAGTTCATGAAACATCCAAGAGACTATCACACAACATTATCTTCCTTCCTCTCTGCCCAATATTGAATAGTTTGCTAACTATTCCATTTATTCACACCCATCCATCCTCATAATAATCTGACAGGATGAATAATAGTGGGGACAGGAGAAGATCCCTTAATACTCACCTAACATGATCTTATTTTTTAAATGAAATATGTTTATCTAATCATAATGAAGAGAACACTGTTCGTAGTTTAAACTATTTCATTAAAAATATACAATGAGAAGTATTTGAGTGAAAAAATTAGTCAAGAATCCTGCAAAGCCCCAGGAGCCCATGTGCACGAGGCTTAGAACATTGATCTTGATTATTTCTGTATTGATCTTCTATGCCACTATGACTGCAGTGCAACTTGACACTTTTTTTCAAAGACTCTTTTCATTAAAACAAATAAAGGGGGGAAAGACCTGCTAGAAATCAACATCCAAGTCTTCAAGGTCAGTCCTTATTTCCAAGTTGGGGACAGGGACTCAGAAGGAACAACTGGCATTCATTAAAAATATCATCATCATCATCATCATCATCATCATCATTCACATTTATATAGCTGCCCATCTCACACAAGCGACTCTGGGCGGCGTACAACATATACAGCTTAACAATTACAATTACAATTACAATTACAACCTATTCTAATTACAATTACAGTGCAGCCCTACTCTATTGTGGCCAGCAGCAGTCACAAGGGAATTAGCTCAGCTGGGCTTTCTTCCACCAAAGATCTTTTCCACCCATCGCATTAGTCGCGTCCAGCGTTTTTTTTTTTATTCTGCTGATTGGGTCCAGCACTGGTTCCAGCTTCCCCACGCAAAGCACTGCCAGTTCCTCCCACCAAAATGGGAGTAGCTATTTATCTACTCGGAGATGGTATGCTTTTGAACTGCTAGGTGGGCAGGAGCTAGGGACGAATGATGGGCGCTCACCCCGTCACGCAGACCAGGCTCGAACCACTGGAGTGCTGACCATTTCTGGCCAGCAAGCTCCAGCGTCATTAAGCCCCTATGCCACCGCACCCCATA